CCCCGACGACGTCAATATTACTCCACAATGTGGATAATTAAGTCGAGGGGCCGTCAATGGAGAATGTTTTTTTATTATTATTATTCATGCCTGCCACTTAGCCCGTCGTGCTAAATGCCTCTCTGCGTGCGGAGCACGTTGCGTATACATGACGCTGGTCACCGTCACACAATTGGGGTTAGGTACAAAAGGCGTCTTCATTATTCTGTTCCCAATCATAGTCGCGAACAATTGATGCGTATGCGATTGGAGGCCAATGGGTCTGGACTTCTTCAAGCCAGCTTTGTCTACATTTTTCAATAGGAGAATGATATCGGCGTCGGTTTACGATTGAGGTATTGGATTTCTGTGTAAAAATAATAATAAACGGTGCCGTGAGTTTTGTTACAACGGCTTACCCGGGTCTCCGATGATTCCCACGATGATTGGTCATGTTGAGAAGGGTAAGGTGATACGTTGTTTACAAAATATATTCGCACGAGGTTAAATACATTCCAGCACTAAACCGTTCATGAGGAAAATATAGTGTCAGCCATGCACACATTCTCATAGCGCAAGCCACCGTGTAAATGTAAAAACAAAAAAAGGTCACTTGAATAATTGTGCAGGAAAAGTGATGTGAAAAATAGTTTGTGCAGGAGGCTGATGAGTTGTGTAAGATATACTTTATGTATATATTATGTGGAGAGACAGACACATGGAGATGTTTTTTTTAGCCCCTTAATGTTTTTAAATTTATATTGTTACCGTATTTTTGCGCAATATTAACTTCAATGTTGAAGATGTTACTCAATAACAAATTACATTCGTTGGACTAACAATACATTCTAAAACGAGAACAAATGAACTTGGTGACATCTTACCCACTTTCATTTTGGTGAATATTTTTTTTCCCTTTCAAGCTATTGTTTTCGAAAGTAATTCATACGCAACTTATCTATGCAGTGCGTATTCTTATACAACAACAAGCGCCATTCGCCACTCAGTGGCGGTGACGTCACCACGACGCTTGTACCAGGCTATGTGCACGTTGAGGCCACATTAAGTGTCAAACGCCCGCTGGCACGAGGTCACGGGGCAGACCCAGGTGCCACAGGTCGACTGACTGAGATGACTGGCTGATGCACCACCTGTGCCCCCTAATGTGCCAACTTGCTGTGCTTTAGCCACCCGGCGCTCCGCTCGTTGTTGTGAGCGTCGCTCCTCCGCCCTCTGTTGTTGTTGGACGGCGACTCCCTGCAACTGCCCAGTAGCGTCCTTCACGAGCCTCCTCCACAGAGGCCGATCTTGACACCGCTGGTACCAGTCATCGGCAAGTCCACTCAGTTCCACATCATCCTTACCACATCACTCCATCTCTTCTCTCCGGTACAGCTATTGCAGGCTTCACGAACTACGTGGTCGAAATAGATGTTAAATAATGTGGGAGCCAGAGGACATCCCTGTCGCACCCCAAGGTGAACAGGGAGTGGCTCCGACTCCGGGCCACGTAGTTTTACCCGGGCCCGCTCACCATCATGAAGGTTCTTATTGATCGTGAGCAGAGGGTCAGGGACTCCGAAAGCACGAAGAACAACCCAAAGTCCAGGCCTACTGATGGTATCATAGGCCTTGGCCAGGTCAATAAAGAAGAGATCTAGGTCTTGTTGGAATTCCCTACACTTCTACTGTAGCAGACGGATAGAAAATATGGAATCTGTGCAGGACCGCCCTTTCCTGAAACCGCATTGGAGCTCCGCAAGCCTCTTCTCAGCATGCCGGGCAAGGCGATGTTGAATAATCCTTGCCAGGACCTTTCCCGGCACACTGAGGAGTGAGATGCCCCTGTAGTTGTCACAGTCTGTGCGTTCCACCAGGGCATCCTTACAATCATGCGGAACCCGTCCAGTGGTCCAGACTGTTGTCAAGATGTCATGTAGGGCAGTCTGTGAACAAACGCCACCCTCCCTCAGCATTTCGCTTGGGTGATCATCTCTGCCCGGTGCCTTTCCTGGTCTCGGACTCAGGATCGCCCTCAGTACTTCCTCAACAGATGGCACCTCAGCCAGCCACTCACAGGGGGTGACTTCTTCCAATATTTGAGGCACCGCAGCCTCAGCAGGGTCATCCCCACTTTGTCCTACGATGTTTTCCAGGCAGAGGGATTTCCCCTCCCCCAGGACCTCACAGAAATGCTCAGCAAATCTGCAAACCTGTTCCCGGGGGTCGGAGATTGGATCACCGTTCTTTCCCCTAATGATGGTAATAGGTGTGGCGCTGCAGGTTATTTTTTTTGATGGAGTTAAAGAGCGATTTGTGATTGCGGGCCATTGAGGAAGACCATCTGCTCAGCAACCCGCGACCACCACCCATCCTTGCAGAGCCTCACGGCTCTCTGAACTTCTACACACCCGCACGCCTATTTTGCACAGCGCGCGCGATAAGATAAACACTTGGCACCGGGCATTATTTAAGAAAATGTGGCCCGCGAAACTTTGTTCAGCCGGGCAAATCTGTCGGCGAGACTATTCTCGTGTAAATCAAGACTCGAGGTAGCAACTCTGCCTGTAATCTGTTTGCGGACTCTCCATGTCCCGGTGGCACAAACTTCATCACAACTCCCGCGGAGGAACCCCTTCCTCGGGCAGGAGCGGGCCAAACTCATCTTCCGCGCGGCCGCCTTTGTCTTCCTTTCCGTCTTGGGCCAGCTCCACGCGTGCTCCCCCCCATTCCCCCCCCTCTCTCGGCGCTTACAGATGCTTTTTCACTGAAAGACATCACGGCGATAACACTTCGCTCGCTACTCCTGACGCGGTTATCTGGCTAGACCACTTGAATGTGAAATTGTCGTACTTCCTCTGCATCTACATCAGCAGCCGCATGAAAGAAGGAGACTGTTTACGCAGTTGAACGTGCAATGATTCACCCGCCCCTTCCCTTGCGACTGCTGATTGTCGCAATTCAGGATCAAGATTTGAAGGTGCATTTTTTTCAATCATTGTTATAACCTGTATATATTTTCTTTACTTTCTAAATTGTGTGTTCTTAAATATATGGCATTGTCGTTATTGCGACGAGTCAAGCACTATCGACGCGTGTGCTCTCCGGTTGCCTGGGTGAAAAGTGGCCCATGCCCTTGCCCAATCCCAGTCAGTTGGCTCCAAAACTCATTAAACGAATCGTGATTCAAGGTTTAAATCTTAGTGGGGTTTTTTTTTTAACAATGCGGTGAATTTAGTGGCCTCTAGTGGCTGGGGCGGTCAATGGAAGAGGAGGCCAAAGAAGACCGCTTCCATCAAGCAGTGATGTAATCAAGAAATTGCATAGGCTGCACATTTAGCTTTTTATACTAATCAAAAAGCATGCACGATTTCAATATACGCATCTCGAGTGGGGGAAAAAAGCAATTTTCTTAATCGATAAACGGACGCATCGCTACACCCGGAGTTGTCACGCAAACTGCTGTTGCATAACATTCGCAAAAGCATTGACTGGGTCACACATCGAGTTGCAGCAGTCGGTGGGAACCAGTGCCTGGGTCATGGTATTATGAAATGTCATGGCATACAGCTCTTTTTATAATATATATTTGTTGTCATGGTAAACAATAATAAAGGTGGCAATGCAGGCGTGTGGAAGGTGCATTAAATCTGAGCTCTGCTGGCGAGAGAAAGTCGCTGTGGTAATTGAAACGGGTATTTCTAACAACCTTGCCCTGGTGTTGTGTCCTTCTATTCTGTCCTTCCCGATGGCAGAATGTTCATGAGCTCAATGCCAATGTCGAGATCTGCTAGCCACGAATAGGGCTTCAGGAGAGTTCGTAGAGTTTTTTTTCCTTCTATTTCTCCATCGAAAGAGAACAATAATACATTGGTTTAAGACATGGGCCGTAGTTTTTGAGTTGCATTGCCACACAATCGCTCTGCTGTGGCTTGCCTTTGGTGAAGGGGAGACGTTGCGCATCGGGCCTGTTGATGTTCTAATGCAGTTGATGGTTGCACCAGCGTCCTTGAGAAATGTCAAAGCCAGGAGGTGCGTTACTTGGATGACCGCGTTCCTCCACTCTTGTGATATAGTGAATAGGATAACTCCCAAATGCCACCAAAATACACCCACATGAAATACCGTATTGCCCGGATTATAAGACGCTTTTGTAGTATAAAAAATACACACAACAAAGTTGTGCTCGGTGAAAATAGTCGCAGAAATCTGGTCACGCGCGAACATCTAAATTAGGGGACGCACCACCTCACTTTTCCTTTCAAATATGGGGGGGGGGGGGGAGTGCAAATTTTAATCGACGTCTGCACCATCGCTCCACGCTGATGAAGTCGCCTCTCGTGCAGGTGCCAAGTTGCATTTTTACATCGCCGGGCAGCGAGAGAGGGCAAATGTCGTGGAGGAGGCCTTCATTCACCAGCGTATTGATCATGCCTAATAATGATATTTCCGTGCCAAAAAAATACCAACTTTTTTGTCCTTTTTAAAATGCAATGTTTAAAAAAACTCAGTATCCATTTGAAGGAAACTATATTAGATAAATGTAAACATTTCAGTCTTAAATTGTACGCACTGCCGTTTTAAGAGGCAAAGTGGCTTACATTTTCCAAGCTTAAAACATTGAAGACGTGTGAAAAAATCGAAAACATGTTTCTACAATTAATCTGAAAATTGAATGTTAACCGCTGAGCTACCATGGGCTTCGGCGGTAGCACATTTGCGGCTTGTTGAGGAGGTTCAAGATTGAAATCCAGCGACCACTCCCGATTAAATGCCGCGGTTGCATGAACCGTACAAATACTCCGCTGTCCATGACGTTAGAAAATCTCGCGGTGTCATTTGCCAGAGTAGTCTATGGGTTGGACGGTGTCGTGGAGGACAAAAAAAAATTAAATTGCCCGCAAACGACTCAATTGGGATTGGACCCTGCTGGAAAAGACAGGAGCCTCTGGTGAGGCTTCCCGGGATAAACAGGCATTAGAAAACGATCATGAAGAAAAAAAATTCCAACACTCTTTTTCGGCCAGTCGTACAGCGCCATTTATTCAACTCATAAAACGATTGGGTTAACGAAACACAGCCATCGTGATATACGTTGCATATACATAATTTGGACACAATGTACATTACAAAACCAGCTCTTAGGTGGTTGTTAGACGTTATGTACATAGCTTAGCACTCACATTTATGACAACCAATGCTTTCCATTTGCAGGTGAATAAACGAAATTCAGAGCCAAATTGTTTCAGACACAAACATTTTTTTTTACCAGACTTGTGCAAAGCATGCCGGGACGCAAATATACATTACTGAGAGAGAAAAAAATCAGACTTTTTTCCCCAAGTCAGTAATTTCAAGTGTTGAAAAATAACTCTAGTCTCACCGAGCTGACTACAAGCATAATTTTAACTCCCCCCCCCCACTCCACTACGAGCGTGGCAGTCTTTAAGGGACAATTTTAAACACGTCCACTTGTCAAGCCTCCCTTATTGTCCTATCGAAGATTGTGTTCCTCTTGTGAGACAAGGCAAGAGGCTCTCACCGCGGGCTGCCTTGGACCCACAAAACAAAGATTTGCCGATCACACGTAATAATGAAAAAATAAAAAAAAATCCCGGTTTTATGATGCAGTTGAGCTACGATGGCCCCTAATCAACAACCGGCCTCGAAGTTGTTTTCCCAACTTCTTTGGCCACAATTAATCCCGAATAGAACACCACGACCATGTGGGCTTTGTCTGGTAGAGGATGGCGATGGTTTAGTTGTATTTGTTTGCGTGATTTCTTTACCCTTCTTGTACGTTGCACTATCATGTTTTTGTACTGTTGTTACATTCTTACCCGCCCCGACTGGACATCTGTGAACAAGAGCTTTATAGCTCATCGGATTCCGCCAGTATAAATACTCTAATGTAAAGTACACTAGTGATGCGAAACTAATTTCATTTCTTTTACCCTCGTGTAACTGAGCATCGCACAGTTAAACACACTCCTGGCCATGTTCACTGGTTCTCATGCACAAAGTTAATTTTTAGTAATTTTTGAGTGATGCTGATTCTGACAATCTCTGACGAAAAATGGGCTGAGGCAAGACACATCACGAGAAGGGTTGATGGCCGACTGTTATAAATAACAATCAATGGAGGGCAGTCAACGAGCGGAAAGCGTCCTGGAGGACACCCACCGAGGAGATGGAATGATGAAATCACCTCGTGGGCGGTAGTTAGGTGGACTACGAACATCGCTGGATTGTACGAGATGGTGGTGGCTTGGGGTAGCCTTCATGCGGCAGTGGATCGAACATGGCTGGTGATGATGATGCACCTACGTCTCCTTCGCCTGAACCTCTGTGTGCCTCAAACAAACGACCGTCTGGTACACTCCCGATGGCTCAAGTAGGCCTGTGTGAGGCACAAGAGAAATGGCATTCTTTCTTGGCTGAACGTCGTTGCTCATCTTAAACGAGCTATTCAGATGATAGCAATTGCAAAACATTACATAGACGTAGGAATAATTGTAACTTTTCCATTTTGTAGAACTTAACGGCTTTTCAATTTGTTTCAGCCCGATTTAAATAGACAGGAAGCGTTGCTTTGATACCATCACAATGATCGTGACGCAGGTTTTGCAAGTGAACGGCCCTCGCTTTCACCGTTATTAGACTTTGCATTTCACGGTGGAATATTGTTTTTTTTCCGCGTGCACAAAATGTGAAATGTATCCTCTCCGTTTTAAAGTCCAGTAGAAATGCACATATAAAAAGAACGGTGAGCAAAAGGCCATAAGTGCTTTCGGTGGAACGTGCCACAGTCTTGAGGGTCCGGTGTTTCATAAAGAAGTCTGCACACGATAAATGCGAGACTCAATGTACAACCTTTCGCGTCAATAAGCATCGCGTGCAAATCAACTCATTCCGTGAGTGAACCTGTCACGACCATCACAGATTTGCGTGACAGTCCGATAAAAAAAAACGCTTCCAACACATCGTGAAGACCACCGCAGTCAAAACGTTGCCATGAACAACGCGGCAATCGAAAGATGTTATTCACACTTTAAAACATTTGAGTAAGACACTTAAGTCTCGTGTTAACTTTCAGTTAGAAGTCTCTCTTAATTTGTATAATCTCCACGTATCATTTATATTATCAATGTTGAGCGAATTCACATTTTTAAAAATTTTAACCAAGGTATTCCAACCAACTCCACCTTCACTATATGCGTCTGGGTTCCGATAGCTCTACTGATTTGTTGGTAAACTTGCCATGTGTCTAAAGCACTGGTCTGAAGTGATCATGCTGTCATGTAGAGGCTTTGGCTTATTTTTCACAGGTAACGTCCCAAAGCCACAGCTTGCTTTAGCCAAGATAAGGCCTGCAATAATTCACCCACTCTCTCCCGAGAGAGCCAATGAATTGTCATGTGTCTGGATCGAGATTCGATTCAAGAATTGAATAATTTGTATGCGTTGTAATCGATAAGAGGTTCACCAATTATTTTGTGGGGTAGTGGTTCATGCTGAACCACCACACTCGCCGCATATGGCCATGCTCTTATACATGCAGCCAACAACATTCAAAGCCGAGCATCGGTCAGCAGTGGTTTTTAACCTGTGATAAAAACAGGGAGATGCCAAGTATAAGATAACTGACGGGCCCAATTCTATCAAGTTTCACAAAGCCTCAAATGTATTGCTTTTGTGGATCGTGGGAGTGAAGACACACAGACACAGCACGCCCGTCAACTCCCGACACCCAGCTATGGGGCCATGCATTCACATGCCGGTCACGGAAGTTAACGTGAACAAAACTTGAGTTTAACGGCGTTTTATTCGATGCATTTGTGAAACCGCACAAGCCACCACAAATCTACTGAAACGTAATGCTGTAACCACAAAGTACTGTAAACAAGTGCCATTCGAGTTTTGTTTACATGTGAAACCGGGGTCAAACATCCAGCTCGCTTTACTTGATAACCAAACGTATACAACGATTAATTTCCACGAGTAATGCTTACAGAAAGTATCATGTGCAAGAAATATTATTTGTTGTATGTAGACGGTAATAAAATTAACTTTCAAAAACGATTTTAAAAATTATTAAACGTGGCGCACTTTTCAACGTTGCAAATTCAGCATCAGCCATAATTTACCCACTGCGGGGATGAAGGCCTCGCTCAACCCTATTATGGACTCAAACACAAGAGCGACGACCACCCTTTCTGATGAACACAACGAGAGAACGTTGCCACTCAACCCGTAAAAAGAATCTCCTCCGGCTTGAATCAACCCACGTTTGTACTTTGATGGGTTAGTGGAAAAGAACAAAAAACACACTTACAGATATGAAACAGTCGATGCAGTGGAGCAGAGCGGGGGGGGGGGGGGCTTGGGAGCGCTCCGAAATTACAAACACGCATTTGACCGTTTGCGCCACTGCGCTCGCGCATGTACCTGTTCGGTGGCTGACACGGGCTATATTAAATGCCTCCCTCTCACCCCCTTTAAATATTAACAGCTAAAGACGAAGGCTCTTTGTACATCGCGGGTGCATCGAGCGGCAAGGTGGCAGTGAAGTGCAAACGTAACATTCACAGAACTTGCTGCTGCCCTCGCTTCGGTCAATAAATGGAAGAGACTTTGCGCATCGTTAAATTATATTAGCACTGTATCATAATATGCACAATACAATGCTGTTTGCTAATGAAACACAGTGAAAGCACAAACTAAAAACAATAAAAATTGTCAGTAAAACAAAACCAGTGTCGGTTGAATTGTGTAAGGAAATCATCCCTACCAGCCTTAGGATATGCCAAGGCGAGAGGCACAACAAACTATTAGTCAGACAGGTCCATAACGGCATTTCTGTTTGAAATGAGACCTTAAATGTACTTGTTTTCAGAAATGCCCTTTAACCCGCAAGTTTTCGCAACTATTGCCGGAATCAAAAAATTCCGCTTTGACGCCACATTCATTTATTCAACCTCAACATCACTTCGCTTCACCATTTTTACTTGTGCACGTCTGGGTGGGGCGGTGCGCCGTTGTGGTCAGCCTCGCATTCCTGCCGGAAGAGAAGCTGGCTTTTCAGGCCTCACCATTCCGAATACTGACTGAAGTACATGTCCTCGATGTGTCCGTCAATATCCTCCGCGCGCCCATCGTCGTCGTCGTCATCGTCGCCGCTCTCCCTGCCCGCAGCGTCCACCACGTTTATGGCCGGAGACTCCTGCTCGAGCGAGGAGAGCACGAAGCCCAGGCTCTCCCTGAGCGACGCCTGGCCGCCGCCAGCCTCCGAGCCGGCCGTGTCCGCGTCACTGAATCCCAGCCACTCGTCCGAGAGAGAGAAGTTGCTCTGCAGATCCGGCGGAAGTCGCTCGCGGAAACCGGCTTCGGCCGTCGCAGCTGCGGCCGGTGGTGGTTGCGGCGGCAGCAGCACCCTGTTGCTCTGCAACGAGCCGGATCTCTCGCCCGCGTCCGTGCCCGTGCCCGTGCCCACAGCGACGGACGAGCCGGCTGCAGCCTCTTCCCTTTCTTCTTCGTCGTCGTCATCGTCGTCGTCGCTTGTCGACTGGCCGATCACCTGTGGCGATCCGTCTTCGGAAGATGCGATGAGGTAGGGTGGGGGGGAGCTGGGAGGGTTTCCCATCTCCATCCCCAACGCGAGGGCATCGTACAGGCTTCCCGAGCCGACGCTCTCCGCTCTGGACGGCTCCTCGTCTGCTCGCAACGAAAGAATGAGCCGGGCTTCGACCGAGGCACCGTCGGACTGCTGGCTGCTGGACTGTGCAGCGAGGGCGGCCAGGCTCAAGTTGTCCGTCTCTGTCACAGTGATGGGAAAATGAAGCCCCGTGTCATTTTGGGGCAAAGCGATCGAGTGAAAGGCTTCCGCTTCCCTTACAGCATCAGTACGAGTCTCAATCACGCCGACGGCGCTGGCTGGAAGCGCGGCTAACAAACTGCTTGGGGGCTCCGCGTCAAAAACGGCCGCGACGGACGAACCGCAGTCGGTCCGTGCGGCGGCGGCAGCAGCAACGGCAGCGAGGGCGGAACGCAAGTCTGTGGCGTGCGGGGTCGGCACCGCAGCGACGTGGCCCACCGTCTCCCCGTCGGCGCCCGTGCTCGTCTGGGAGCTCGCGTTAATGACGTGGCTCACCACGATCTCGTTACCGAAGCCACCCATGGAAGCCATGGTGGTGACCCGGCCACGGGTCACCACAGCCGTCATGCCGCCCACCGTCAGTCTGTGGCATATCGCAGTGGCGTCCTCTCGGCCGGAACCCAGGCCGGCGTCCGACGGGGGACCGGAGCCGACGGTCACGGAGGGGGGCGGAATCGTCCCATGATCGGAGTCGGTCTGCGACACGGAATCCGAGAGGCCAGCGGAGCCCAGGGCTTGCCCAGCTGCACGCAGGATGCCCTCGGTGCTCGAACCTAAAAATAAACGGGAGAGAAAAAAAAAATATTGTAAAGCAGCATCCACAAATGTGTAAAATGCTTTGTCCATAATTAGCTCTCAGCTGAATCATTACTTTCATGATTCAATTAATTAATGGCTTAATGTGTTTCCGGCTTGATTTCCACTGTTTTTCTACATGCACCACCAGGCAGTGTGCGGTATCATTCGAGACTGCTGCTCGGCATCAATAAAAACACGAACACAGTTGAGAAAGGTGGGTATGGCGCATTGCAGGTGTCATTTGATATGAGCCGAAGAAATGCTCGACAGTGGCTTGCTAGAGACGAGCACTCAGAGTGCCCTGTGCTGCGTGATGGCCAGGGTGCTAAGCTGCACGCAGTGACCCTTTTTAATGGGACACTGTGGCTTTTCCCGAAATAGCACTAACCTTTTGTAAGCTCCACTCACAGCCAAGCAAGAAACCACTGCATTCTGTTCGCCGTATTTAATTAAATAAGACAATAAGCATTCACCACTTCATCTCTAGAGAGACAAACAAATTACATTGTCCGTATCACTTTCAGTTTTATTTATCAAATTTCAGCAATGTATCGAGCGTAAATAAAAATGCCGCTAAAACTACAACAACAAAAAAAACGCTCCACAATATTTCAGAAAACATTACTTACTTCCATATCCGCAGGCTTCTCATAAAAAAAGGACTCGTTTCGTCACACAAGTACACGGACCGCAATTTAAAAGCATGTTCATTCAAACTTGACCGCATTGTAACTGTGTCGGGTTCCCTTTTAATAAGTACCACAAAGAGCAGACACATCAATACACAATGTCAGCGCTCTGGGCTAGCACGCTGGCACAAGCACTGGAGTCTGATGGGAGGCGGGGAATTGGGGGGGGGGGGGGCGATGGGGGAGCTAGGGAGCGACACAGATCGTGCAAAGTGGGTAATGAAAAGTCACACCTCTCATGTGCCCTAAAACTTTTGCGAAGCTGACCGGCTGACCCAAATTGTCAAGCTTGCTTTTGGCTACGCCCAGGCGCCGTTGCTTTTTTAAAAGTCTGCGCAGTTAATGGAACACAACACAGCAGGAAAAAGCACTTCTACAGCCCAAGCCACACAAGGACCGCTATGAAGATTTTTTTGTTTCACGCGTGAACAAGATTTCCTCTCCCGCGGCAAGCCGAGTTTCTTGTGCAGTTAAGTAAGCTGGGATTAGAGCTGGCTCCGAGGTCATGAAGTACAAATTAATTAAGAGGCGCATTCTGTGAGTAAGGTCTACAAAAACACAACCTGGTTTCACTCGGCTTGCCACGTGCACAACGCAGCGCTTGCGTGCGACACGAGCGGATGCTCAACGCGTGTCAGCGAGCCGTAAATCCCCATTATTGTACCTCGGTGACAGCAGGGCATTAAAGTGAGTTTACTTTAAAATGCCTTTAAATAACAATAAATTCGTATTGTGTATTAAAATTCATGGGGTACGAATAATACGCTGTCATGGAAACCCACACAGGATGCCTTGCAGTACGCCTGCATGAATGCAAGAAGAGGCTCCCAGTGGTGATGATTCATGGAGGCTGCTTAAACCGTTATTAATATTGATGGCAAGGACATTGATTTCCTTTTGAGCAGCACAAAAGCAAAACGTCTCGCAAAACCAAAGAAACGGTCTAATCGTTATCGGGAGCATTTTGAAAAACACTTACTGGAAACACTCACGTTGTGGCTAAAAATACACTCGAGAAGACAGGGCTTTAGTCTTGTTTGCATTTCACTGATAACTAAGAGCAAAACAAATATATATATTTTTTTCTCCTCGGTCAATATGTTAAACCACGTTTCCATTGAGAGCACACCTAGACCCTTTTGATACACTAAGACTGTGATGATGGTGATATTAATAAGTACGCTGATAGGATTGTCAAAACATTAGGCTAACAAAAAGACAGATTGCATGGCACACAAGTAGAATTGAAAGCTTTAATTGCAAACAAGCACACTGCGGTCAACAAGCATTGTTAATATTCAATTGTTAAAGAGTTAACATATTTCATTGTTAAAGGCATTCTATATAGTTTTCTAAATTCTCCATGGCGCTATCTGAAGTATAGTTGAAAAATGGTAAAACATGGGAATTTCATTGATAATAGCGTGGTCTTCAGCAGCCTAAGCATCAAATCACTTCTCAAATCAATGTTTAGTGCCACATTCCAACGGGCCACTATGGGTGTCACAAAAGACGCACTTGGAAAGGCCGAACCATGGTTCAGCGACGGAGCAGAACTGTCGGGGGCAAGTAAGAGCTGCCAACTAAGGTGGCAGTGAATGTGGTGTTTCATTGTACAAAAAGGAACAGTTTCCACTCCTGGGTTCCACAGGTATCACACGGTGGCCAAAAGGTTAAGGGGTCCCATGCCACGAGAAGGGGGGGGGGGGCGCAGGGGGCTTATGAAAGTGCCTAGAGGAAAAACTATTTTAATTATGTATTCTTGGTTCTTTCGGTAAAGTCACGTAGAAGGGAAAGAATAAAATAAAAAATATAAAACAATAAAATTATCACGACGTTTCGACTGTGGTTTTCACACCTGATGATGATTGCTTGTGTTGCAGTCGAAACGTCGTGAGAATTTTATTTTATATTTGTATAATTTTATTGTTTCCCTTCTACGTGACTTTACCGAAAGAACCAAGAATATGAATCCCTGCAGTCACGAAAGCTTTAAACCAAAATTAATTTTAATTATGGTTACGTGGTTGAAAGGAGTTATACGCCAGTCGGCAGTTCAGAACGGTGGCGACATTGTGAACGCAGTACAGTAATTTGCCTCCGATGTTAACACATTGGTCACAGTGACTTCATTAGATCTGCGCATTACAACTGGGCATCTGGCAAATGACCCCAAGTGAAAGTTTCAAGTAGTCTGGGCACAAACGATTTTAAAAGACGTCAAGGAGGCATTGTGCAGTGGGGGGAGCACAGTTATAGCTATTTCACACGTCGGCTTTAGCGACCAATATTATGCAAAATAAAGGTTTTTTTTTAGTTAGATCGCGTAAACATAAACGTGTCGTTAAACCCGCCACCGGCAGACACAGCCAATTCGTCAGGTTTGTCACGCAAACAAAACGTGCCAATGAGTTAACTCCTTCAGCACACCGGTGTGTTGCAGAGTAAACCCACGACATTCTACCTGCCTGCGGCGTTACAGACCTGCATCACTTGCAGCGGGAGGCTGCGGCGGTGGGGAATCGCTGCCCGTGGCGCGCTCCTGCCGGTACAGCGTGCCGTAGCTGTCGATGACATCCTGCACGGGTTCGTCCTGCCGGGGCGGAGAGGTCGCCCCCCCCGGCGGGGGCAAAAGCACCGACGGTGCCGGGGCGCCGCCGACGTCACCCGGGCCGCCGTCGGTTGGAGCGTTGTCCGACCGCCGCTCGTGTTCCGCGTGTGCGCTCTCGGCCGGCGCCACGCTGGGACGCAGGGCCCGCACTCCGCTAGGGCCCGGCCTCTCTCCGTCGTCGGCTTCGCGGTCGAAAACACACACGAGAGACAAGCGCAGCACAGCGAAAACAGTGCTCGTGTGAGCTCATAAGTTTGATTGGACGTGAAATCGCAAAGGTAGCATTCAAACGCTGGCAAGATCTCTGCAAATAGTACCAACATGTGTAATTAGTAAGCATTTTTCTGACATACAGTAACAAAGGCGAGTATAGAGGGATTCAAACTATGTCTTCGTGGACAATATAAATGGATGTGAGCATTATTAAGCTGACATCAAATAAAGTGCCACGGCTCTTCGCGAGCATAAAACAATGATCAAAAGAGCAATGTCCCAGAATGTCAGACTCCCATGAATAATGGTAGATCTTTATATTGTTCAGCGTCGATATCATAGGCGACTCAAACAATCAGACAGCTATATTCTTGGTTCTTTCGGTAAAGTCACGCAGAAGGGAAACAATAAAGTAATTAAAATACGAAACAATAAAATTCTCACGACGTTTCGACTGCAACACAAGCAATCATCATCAGGTGTGCAGTCGAAACGTCGTGAGAATTTAATTCTTTTGTATTTTTTTTGTTTCCCTCCTGCGTGACTTTACCGAAAGAACCAAGAAGACGAATCCCTGCAGTCACGAAAGCTTTAAATCAAAATCAGACAGCTATTTTATTTCTGCTTTGAGGCTTGATTACACAGGACATAAAATACATCCCCTGACTATTTAAGCATGTGTAGGGCCCCCAACAGAGCCCAAGTGTCGCAGCTCAGGAGGTGATAGGTAACGTTGCAAACACAACAAGCATGTCCTTTGCTTATAATGAGTGCGAGCTTCGTCACTTTTACCTGCAGATACTATTTTAAGCTGACAGCGGAACCCAATTGTGACAGCCGCCTAATGAACTAGGTAAGCACACATCGTGCTACCGGAGACAAAAAACCATGCATCATGTTCACCATCAGGCGCACTACTGCAGTCGTATACAACGGGGTGAAATTATACTACGTGACAGCACAATAAAAAAAATTGTCCTCTCAAGGCAGAGACCTGAAAGCCATAATTGCTCTTGGTCACACAAGCACGCAATCCACCAAAATTGTTCCTCAAACAATTTGCCCGAGGCTATTTGCCAGGGTTGTTCCTTTTAATTCATGCATGAACAGGTAACGTGTTGGGGTGACATGCCGAGCGCTCTCACGGACCGTCACGCTTGCCTCTACATCTGAATTTCAAAAGGCAACGCAGACTCAAACAGCGCATGCCGACTAATTGCCTGCGGACCTCAGAAGACCCCGCACAGCCATCCTCACCTGCAGAACATCCGTCTACCGCTGTCGCTTCCAAATGTACGACCCGCGATATTACCGCATGTTGATAGAGCAACCCCTCATCAACCAAGACCTTCCAAACACAACTTCCGCGTGTAAGATGGCACAAAAAATGCCAATGGAAAAAAAAATCACGACCCAATGGAACTGCCAAATTAAATATTTCTCAAACCAAGTCCTGCAAACGTTTGAATCTGGAGTCAAAAGAGCTGCAAGTTATTTCTGGGCCCCCTAAGTCTGAAGTGACACAATCAATTCCCTGATCTTACATCATGTACCACATGCGCCATTTAGCCACGTGAAATGTCACATGCTCACAGTACTCAACAGTAACGATGCTCCACATTATCACTTAAGTGTTAAAAATATAATGGGATTCTTGATAATTAGAGGCCACAAAGGATTTATAATCTGCCAAAGTTGTGAAAATGATGTAAGTACCTTCGGGAAATGAAATATGAGCTTTGGTACGTGAGGTGTATAGCCGAGTTTGAATAATAAATAGAACATATTGCAAGCAGTATTTGGTTTGGCTCTGGTACAGGGGGGTGGTACTTAGCAATGAATCACGTTGGTGTCTGTTATAAGCAATTTCAGCCTCTAACATGAGTCTTGTTAATTCTATCACCATTTCACATTGCATATGAATTCAAATACACCGGATACTTGGCAACACCCTGTCTGCCATCACCCAATGCATTTAAGTTCAGTGTCACACAGTGCACACAATGTTATAATAAAATAAAAATATAAAGTGCCCAAACTGATTAAATTCCCGTCTGCCATTTCTCTGCCACCACCACCGGCCTCTTGGGTGGTGCATAACTGTTTATAAAACGTAATTACAGACAATTAGGGAATCTATTGCGGTGTTCATAGCAGATGCATTTTACCTCGGCTGGATTAAATATGAATACAAACGGGGCCAAAACCCCTTCCAACGTTCAAATTGCTGGCAATAGACAGCACTGTGCCACCATTCCGATCAGCACGGTTGGCTACGTATGGTGCAAAAGAAGTTCAACACATATACATTCCCCGCAGCCACTGGTGAATCCCAGAATTACTCATTGGTTTTTTTCGGTAAAGTCACGTATGTAGGAATACCATAAAATTATATTAAAACAAATCAATCACGATGTTTCGACCGCAACACAGGCGATCTTCATCAGGTGTAAAAAAACAAATCACGGAGGTAAATACAACAAGAAGATGAGAGACGAGAATTCAACAAACCCAAGAAAAAATATGTGATGCACAACCAGTCAGGTCAACAACACAGTTAGACACTTACCTGGCGGACCACGAATTTCATATGTATTTCTGACTTGTACCTCGTATTTGTGCACTCTGTCTATGCTGGTATATTCAATCCAGTGGTTGAACACGAAATTTAACACTTCTGAAATTCGTGGTCTGCCAGGTAAGTGTCTAACTGTGTTGTTGACCTGACTGGTTGTGCATCACATATTTTTTCTTGGGTTTGTTGAATTCTCATCTTCTTGTTGTATTTACCTCCGTGATTTGTTTTTTACACCTGATGAAGATCGCTTGTGTTGCGGTCGAAACATCGTGATTGATTTGTTTTAATATAATTTTATAGTATTCCTACATACGTGACTTGACCGAAAAAAACCAATGAGTAATTTATGCAGTCACGAAAGCTTTAATTCTTTATGAATCCCAGAATTACCAAATGGTGGAAGCAGGGAACCTGTGAGCGGGTAAGGGAGGTGCGTGGGGGGTGGTACTGAGTGTGAGCCACGAGCACTCGAAGGCCTCCCACCCCATCTGGACAAGTTCCTGGGTCTACATAGCAAGCACAGTCTTCAATTACCCTCTGCCAAGCGTTTAGAAACATTCTGGCTCCGAGCTGACAGGGAAAATACTAGTAACATTTCACTTAATTTATTTACTGTGTAAAACAGAGCTTTATCATTCTCTAATGTTTTAATGTTGCCCTTTTTCTTTTCCCTCCCAGGGAATATATTAACGTATTCCAATTGCTGTGCCAGCATCACACCGGAGACAAAGGCGAGCAGTGGTTCACCGTGTCCGAATGGTCCCGGAAGATGACGTCACAGAACTATTCATGAAAAGTCAAATTCAGCAGGCCTACGTGCCCACACAAGGACGCAACTTTTAAATATAGGCTTTGTAAAAAGTTTGCTGGATTTCAAAAAAAAAGAAAAATCAATGCTCTGAGTTGGAATAAGCCGAACTAAATCTAAACGAAAGGCAGCGTGATGAACCAAACGTAATGCGATAATTTTTCATACAACCAAAGGGTGACGGACTTGAAACCATGAAAGTTGCTTGCACACGTGGAAATCTGGTTGTTTATTTTTTTTCATGTATTATTATCGTTCACATTATTCCTATATCTTAAGAATACGGCGAACGCTGGAGAAGAAAAGTGGCATTACCACAGACTCAGTGCAACCAGGCTCAACTCAATGTGGGAACAACGTCTAAATGTGTTTGCGTGGTACGTGCATCCGTTGCAGGAAAATAATAACGCATGGGAGAGCGCCCATTGAACGACCTCACCCAAAAGCAGCCGTGAACTAAACGCCATGCCATGTTATGCAAGCTATTTGACTGTCCATCACAAATGACAAGGCTTTAAGTATTTTTTTTATTTCTCAAATGCCGAACGTGGTATATTTAGGGCACTCCATTTCATCCGCGGCTCAGACCCGCAGTCGTGGTATGATGAATGAATGGTGGCGCCTTTCAAGGGGTATATTAAGCGTGTGTGCTTTAAATATACTCTTCTAAACCAACACGCGTTAATGAAGGTACACAATGTACCTTGTAAAACTATCGAGGAACTGAACGTCATGTGTATGCATCTGTATTCAACGTGACGAATAAAACACCTCCCGCTGATGCATGGATGATCACCTTGCATGATCGTTAATTATTAATTCACACGTAATATCAGCCTGACAATAGCACTGCTGTGAGATGCCGACTCCTTATAAGGCAATAAGACTGAGAATTCAACAGTTGCGCCTCACAACACTAGGAAAGCCATACCAAGCAGCCTTAATGCGACCATTTGAATGAACTGCAATATATGAAACAAAGATGCAAGCTGTCAACATGCCGTATATCACCTAAAAAAAACTGTTAGGGGAAATACTGTTAGTGAGCACCTATTAAGCGCAGAACGGAGCATGAGTTGGTGGTGGCTTTAGCAACATGCCCAGTGCCTTTGTGTCCCCAGTGCTGATGTAAAAGCACACTACCAGATACTCGTTCAAGGCCGAGTCGATCTAGAGGAAGGCGCAGAAGTTCAAATATTCGCAAATGTTATCCATGAGCGGCAATTGAATTCAAACCGCTGGGTTCATAGCACCATGCCGTAACCATTACACTACCGTACCCACTACACCACCGCTTGCCCCAAGATGTAACGCAAATGTACACACTCGTCCTATACTAAGCCCCGAGTTAAATCCACCGGGCAACCAAAAACGATTGAATGTGGTTGGGGCTATCGCTGTGCCCGCACCTGCTGCGGCCGTGCTCACGAAACACGCGCCAGTAAAAAATCAATACAGGTCACAGGAATCAACACCAGAGCATAGTCCAAGGATGTTTGAGCATCCCAACATGCCGAGACGACGCACACAGCTGTGTTTTCATCCTGGCAGAATGCCAACAATGCAGTCGCGAGGCCAATGTTCGATGCACTCTTTATATTTTCTTTCCCAACCCAATTTGCAGTAATGCATGACCTGTGCACGGCCCGTCTCAATGCTTGTTATTTCTTCTTAACGGCGCACGGTCCCATGATTCCAAGACGCCGGCTGCGAGGGGTGAAGGGGGGGGGCGTGCGTTGTTTCCAAGGAAACTTAACAAACTGCAGTGGTTCTTTGCTTCCCGGCGGCCAATGGGAATGGGGCAATGTGTGTGCCTTAGAGTGAAGGGTAAATAAAAGAAGACACTGCCACATAATGGAAGGCGATGATAATCATGTGAATAATAAGCCAATAAAACCCAGGGGAAAATGTAAATAAAATATCTGTGCTTACAATTATTCAATGACTGCCACACAAATGGACAGTAAGATGTGGCACCAGGAGCTCGGAGGCCCCCTGCTAAAACTGCAAAATCAAAGGGAGAGGGGGCGAGAGATGGGGAGAGAAAGAGATTATGGGGAAGGAGCAAAGGGCAAGCCAATCTCAGTAGGATTAGGGGAAAAAAAATCTAGTGGGATCCCTCTCCATTAGCATCACTTACAGTCTCCAGCGCACTACCCACACCCAAACCCGCTGCCCCGTCAGCGCAGCACAGCACCCGCATATAAATTGAACCCGTCATTCGCCAACACATGGCTCGGGGTTTTCCTTTAGCTGCTCTTACGCTCGTCCACACGTAAACAAGGAAATAAACAATAAAAACAACCCCCCCTGCCCCCCCCCCACATTTGCTCGTATAGGTACACGGAATTAAAACGCACAAACGGGGGGGGGGAGCTGTCAAAGTTGGCGAATTCTGAAACTTTGCACGGCGTTGTCTTCGTACAATTCCAAAATATCAATCGTTTTGCAAATAATGCTCAGCAGATGCGCAAATGACCGGCATGATCAACAAAGCTTGGTCGAACAAACTAACAAAAGCGAGCTAAATGAAAGAAACATGCAATTAAAATTGACGGTGGTCAACCTCATAACAATAATGCACTGATGGTACGGGGGGGGGGAGTACAAGTGAAGTCGTTGAAGTCGACTCGGCTCATTACCGCATTTTAAGCAGGATGCAATAATAACGCAAGTGGCAAACATCAAACATTTGAAAGGGCTGGACCCAACTCCTTTCATTTTCAGTTGCTGAAAACAGGCTCATTTATATTCAACGTAAGTTAAAAGAAAATGCGTTGATTTGTAATTGAAGGAGTGCTACTTCCCTGTCCTTTCATTACAACGGCTAGGGTGTTGTGCCAGTCAGTGATGGTTGGTTTTTCCATCACATCATTTCGAAGATTAATTTTTTTACAGATCTAACTAAAAGGGTCTAACTAAAAAATGGCAAAGGACTTGAAAGAGAGGAACTAGGGTATTTCATCACAACTATCAACAAAGTGGTGTTCGATACCATATGCATGCACGTATACTTACGTCCGCTCGGTTCACCGTGTCAAATTCACAGACTAATTCAGGAGCTTCGCTCTTGTAATTTACCAATTTGTGTTCCACAATGTCTTTTTGTTAATTAGTTTTGTTTACCCTGCATGTAGCCAGCAATACAAATGAGTGTGAAATACCCTATGTACTTCGTATAATGATTTTCAAATAATTGAAGTGGAACATGTTTAATCACCCAATAATTCTATTCTGCCCGGTTATCATAATTGTATTTTCATTAGTATATGCGACTTTCGCAGGTAAGTCGGATCTAATTATTTTATTACCATGATATTCTAACCCTATGATAATTATAGATGCTTCTGCTGTGCATACAAATTAAGTTTTTGTTTCTCTTGCATGAACGGCTGCTGAGACAATTGACCAAAAAGCGGCACAATTAATTGTGTGAAAGTGCACATTGCACGATATTACGTGCCGAATTAAAACAATCATCCACAAAATACTCAATTGAGATCACACATAGCAATCATTGCCCCCTACTGGCAGACGAATGCCCGTTTGGAGGCCAAGCGCCGAGTCACCATGTGCCTACAAGGACAGCTGCCACTTGGAGGGTGCCCTTTCAAATGTTTGAGAGAGGATGTGATATGACGTGCTCCGAGACATGTCACACGATAAACGGTAGGGTTGACATGAAGGGTCAAACAATCCATCGATGCATGGTTTCGCCGATATCCATTGTTATGCTCACGATATTACCCATCAAATATTACGCTTTCAGAATAATTATCAAAGCATATGCTTTACAATACAATCATGTTGACCACTGCAGCCAAGGCCACTATGTTTAACACACTAGGACAAAAAATATTCTTTAATGGAATCGCGACTCCAAATCGTAGCAATTCATAGAATTGTGTGGGTGACGAGAATCCTGACAAGACTAGTTGATGGCAAGTGTTTTAAGCGTGCCACGTTTTCATAAAACAATTAACCAGCAACCAAAACAGAAAACAATATATTGAGTACATTTATTATATTGATGTAGTTTATACTTAGTTTGTTTACATCGGTTTATTGTATGATAGTTGGGTAGTTGCAGTCCTTTAGCGTCAATATACTAAATGCATCTGTTGATATGTAAACTCTGACTTTAACATAGCTGTTTCCGTGATCAGTTACATGCTAATCCCTCACATTAACATCATGCTAATCTCCTAGTTACATGCTAATTTCTGACTTTAACACCCTGCTAATCCAACACTTTAACACAGCTATTTCAATGCTAAATTATCCTGTTGATATGTAAACTCCTTTGTCAAGGCGCTCTGCTCCTCCCACCTAGCTTAAAAGACGCTGCGAAGCTTAGCAGCGTTCATTGAAGCGCTGTCGTCCCGACAGTTCTGTTCCTTCACCTGAAGAAGGCTACTTGTGTTGTGGCCGAAACGTCGTGAGAATTTTATGTTATTATATTTTATTTTTATTATTTTATTTCCATTCTACGTGACATTACCGAAAGAACCAAGAAGAAGAAAACAAGCAATCTGCATAAAGTACTTAAATTATGCTTACGATTTTATACTCGAATCAAACCTAAATGAAGATGCCAAGCAGCTTCGCCCTATTAAGTGAAGGTCCTGGTCATCATCATCATCGAGGATGAATCCACTGCTGGATGAAGGCCTCCACGAGTCGTCGCCATCTCTCACCATCCTGCCAGGTAACAATCCCATCGAGCGCCTGCACACGAGCCGATTTTTGGCTCCATCTCTTCAAGAAGAAGTCCTGTTTCCTTATGCCTACAAAGTAATTGCTAACGTCGCTTTGCCCTACATCCTACTGTACCGTCCGCCATGGTTCGTGATATTGGGGGTCCCGGTAAAACTATACAACGGCGCCGATTAATGGACAACTCTGCAAGTGCCGAGAGTTGTGTCTCGTCGGCACACCTGCCGCGCGTACCGTGCTCGGCGTCGGTCTGTGTGCTGGCGCTGAGGAAGTGGCGCTGCGTCTGCGTTCCCTGAGTGGTCACGGACCAAGAGCCTGGTCCGCGTGGCTGCAGCCCGATGGCGCTCATGAGCGCCAACTCGCGGTCGGGCCTGAACGCATCCGACCTCGGCGCAGACCTGTGACGCACACACACAACATACACACGGCACTGAATCAGACGTGGCAACCGCTACGCGATGGCTCGCTCAACGCCTCGCCGAGACTCACTGAAGCTTATAGGAAATGGATAAACGTTACATGCCGATGCGTGAAAATCGACGTGTCAGTATTTTTTTTTTAAACGTATGTGATGTAGAGAGCGCTTCTTAATCGGCGCGGTTCACACCAAATATCTGGACCGTGGTCTCTCAAACTCCCAGGCCTCGCGATCCATCATGGTCCGCCATTCAAATACAGATTAACTCAATAATTGATTTGATTATTGGTTTGGCCACGTAATGATCTGGCCAAATTTAAGTCGTTAAGACCCTCCGCCACCCAACATAACAACACATTATTGTTTCAACACACGCACACCAAAGTATCCTGGAAAAATTATTCTCACAACCAAATTAGTCAACTAGATACAAGACGTTTTGTTTTGAACTACTTCAACCATCTTCTGGACAAGATCCAGGAAGGCAGAATAACTACATCACCTGACCCTGGCTTCCGAAAAAGTTGTCATGTCGTCAAGGAACAAAAGATTATTACATGGCCCAACCCTAAAATTTCATTAGAAATCGTAATCTTGGTTTCTAAAAACCTAAATGTCAAGTTCATAGGTTAAGCCTTTACACACTGCACGGCCTCATTATTGCTAAACAACAATGCCATGCCAAGTAGAGGGCACTTTTTAATTAGTGTGCTCTCTCAGTCACCTGAGACGCGCACACACACACGATCTCAATACAATTTGAACGAGGTCTGCACGTCACCTGTAACCCACAGGCACGTGCAAGATCTCAATCTTAATTTTATCGAGCTTTCCTGAAGCTCCCCATTCCACGCATGCGACCCCTCAATCTTGATTTAAAGCAGCGCTCGTGTTCGTTTCCAAAATGTGTTTCGCGATTATCGGGTGCGCACGGCCTGCTATCGGCTTAACTTGTATTAGAACAAAGGACACATTGGTAAACTTGGAGAGATGCACCGTGGTGGATCGTTAATGGTTTACCAAGCAACCACTACCACTTCGGAATAAACACTTAAATGTTGAGTGGCAGTGGCGGCGAGACAGCTGAAAAATTAATTGTGTAGCCCATTAAATATTCAACCAAAAACCGATTCACTCATATAGTAGATATTTAACTTTGGATGTATATCCTCGGGTGTCCTATACAGGCATTATGAAGCTTTGTTCATGCGAAAATAAGACTTTAAGATTAGATCATGTCTTACATTACTGTGAACGCTGCACATAAAAAAATCCTGACGCCATCGGATGGATTACCAAAATGGAAACAGTGATAATGTTTTATCAGTTGCTTTTCAAATGCCACGCAAAAGGAGAAATGTGAAGTCAATACCATAGAGTATAAAAAAGTGATTGTAGTAACGTCACTAGAGTACACTATAATGGCACACATGACCACGATTTTAATAAAATTATTTTATTGTTTTATTTTTATTATTTCCCTTCTACGCGACTTTACCGAAAGAACCAAGAAAATGAATCCCTGCAGTCACAAAAGCTTTAAATCGAAATTTCACGATTTTAATGTTATATTTATTGTTTCAGGCAGTCCATGATACGTAGCCTCCATAAAGCTAAGTGTTTTTTTGGGCAGCATATTTCTTTATTGCAGCCTGTACATATTCTATGCTGCCATAACTTTCTGTAGACCGGTTTTCATCCCTTATTCATTTTCAAATAAACCTCACAAAGTGATGTTATTTATTCCACTTGATATAACAAGCTCCCAGAAAGCTCTGACTGAATGCAAAAAAAAAGTTTTTTTTAAGCCATCAATCTTGCAAATCGAAGCGTTCATGTTATCCTCGGCCGTTGTGTTGAGCAGCGAGTAATGTCGGCCGTGAGATGCGTTCAGTGCGAAAGAGCCAACGGATGGGAACTTGTCGCGGCGATCATAACGACGACGGTGATGGGTGCTCACCCAGGGCGCACAGGCTCTCGACGGCTCTGTAACGAGTCCACGGCCTCTGACAGCGTGTAAAGATTGTCCCAGCCCACATCGCTAGTCAGGCTTGGGTCCACTCCGCTGGGGTGGGGCGGGGGAGGCAACCGGCAACGCACAATTGCAAATGACGACACACGGCACAGTCACAAAGTGCAGATACGCATCATATACAACCTGCAGTGCAACACGGGATACGCCACACGCGCTCGACGCACAACCGCAAGACAAAGTGTGGCCAGAAGTGTAAATCATATGCGGCACGTAACCCATCATAAATAACACACTACGTTGATGTTAAGCTCGCAACAGGCAGCTCGTAACACACAGCCACACAAATCACCATGTGACACGCAGCACTTAAAACCAAATAAATGACCATCATTCAGCGTAGCCCGAACTTTCCTTAAAAAATTTACAGAGAAAATTATTTAAATGTCTGCAACAGGTAATTAATTGAAAAAGGGTTACTTTTTTCCCATTTTTGGATTGGAAACAAAAGCTAAAAGCATTCTCCCCATACAAAGTTCAGAGGTCAAACCACCGCATGCCCCTAATGGAGTTGAAGTATGTCAGGCTCGTGCTGGACACTAAACAAAAACGCAAACAAAGAACGCACATTTCACTTTGCCAATTACAAGCCTTCTAACTAAATGCACACATTAGAGGCAATCAGAACAATCGACAGAATTTTTTTGCCGGTAACACACGGCCATGCACCAAAACGCTGTGAAATTTGTTGTTCATCGTTTCACCCACTGCAATGAGCTGCTCTGTATTGTTTCATACCTATGAACATTACTGCCTTCATAAAAACGGTGAAACTCCTGTTATACATTTTAATTTCAAGCTTTCGTGACTGCAGGGATTCATATTCTTGGTTCTTTCGGTAAAGTCACGTAGAAGGGAAACAATAAAATAATAATATAAAATAAATTTCTCACGACGTTTTGACTGCAACACAAGCAATCACCATCAGGTGTGAAAACCACAGCAAGAAAATTTGAAAAAAGTGGCGTTTTTTTAAAACGTTAGCACCACGGAGAGCGATTTGGCAGTTATTAAAATGGACGAGTCCATCTATGTTCGGAAAAGAGGAGGGGGGAGACGAAAATAATGGATGCGGTCTGAAAGCCACCGTAAGCGTGAACACTCAATTAAGAGACCCAAAATGGGTTATCATATCCTTCCAATGATTGCAAAGCCAGAATCCATCTTCTTGGTTGAAATTGTCTCTGTTTGTATATGTGGATAGCCTCATGAATGAATCTCTCATGATAGCCAGATAGCTTGCAGAAAACCTCTGTCTTGGAGAAGTCAATGTCATGTGAGCCTACTGAATTATAACAGTGATCTGTCACGGCCGAGGTGTTGGTCCTACCGTGTTTTTACCCTGGCGTCTACAAACTAAGTTGCCTCTGTGGTGGTAGTTACATTGGAGAAACAAACGACATGTCTCGGACCGCATTCGTGAACACAAAGCAGACATGAAACATGGTAGGACCAACACCTCGGCCGTGGCAGATCACTGTTATAATTCAGTAGGCTCACATGACATTGACTTTTCCAAGAGAGGTTCTTTGTAAGCCATCTGGCTACCATGAGAGATTCGTTCATGAGGCTATCCACATATACAAACACAGAGACAATTTCAACCGAGAAGATGGATTCTGGCTTAGCAATCATTGGAAGGATTTGATAAACCATTTCGGGTCTTAATTGATTGTTTACGCTTACGGTGGCTTTCAGACTGCATCCATTATTTTCGTCTCCCCACTCCTCTTTTCCGAACATAGATGGACTCGTCCATTTGAATAACTGCCAAATCGCTCTCCGTGGTGCTAACGTTAAAAAAACGCCACTTTTTTCAAATTTTCTTGCTGTGGTTTTCACACCTGATGATTGCTTGTGTTGCAGTTGAAACATCGTGATAATTTTACTGTTTTTTATTTTTTATTATTTTATTGTTTCCCTTCTACGTGACTTTACCGAAAGAACCAAGAATATGAATCCTGTTATACATGTTGGTGTGGGGTGGAGCGTGGAGGAACCAATGGGACAGCATTTATTCGCTGAAATTATTCCGATTATCCACATGGTTGTCCGTAGTTCATACAATTTAATCTCTCTCGCGTCCAAATGCAACTTATCTCAAGTCAGTGGACTGTGTTAATTACGGCGAACAAAGAAGCATATAGAGTATATATAAAGATTAGAAAACAAAACTGCCAAAGGTAGCGATGAAGATAAAGGTCTTGGGATGGTCTGGAGCATGGACTTGAGGCCAACGAGTCAAGAGCACATAGTTGATGGCCTTGACTACAGTTGCCAATGTTCAAAAAGACCCATCAGGTTAAAATTAGGTTTTGCACTTAATGTGGCTAAACTTTCATCTCTTGAGAATTTGAACTATGGTTTGTTGTGTAATAAACAATCACGTCCTGTCGCAGGGTGGAATGGAAAGTTCTTCCCGCTGGTGTTGAGAACAGGGCACTTCAACAGAGAAACGTAACTTTTTCACATTTTCCCCCAAGAAAATCACGCTCACAACAACAAGTTGTGAAAATTCAAAACTTAGAAAAACCCATCTAGGAGAGTGTATACTGCGTTAATCGTTTCGACTCTTCTAAAGCATGCCTTCGGCTTTGACTTGGACACAATGGTAAAAAGTTGTGCATCCGAGGCGTTTGAATATGCAGCGCGCAACAACAATCTGCTCGAGCATTCTTCACAACGACCCGCGTGACACAAATCAGGTCATGCAGTTAGAATATCTGCAGACGACAAAGAATATATTTGAACTTTTTTTTTAGGAAATTCACCTTACGTATTTCCACCCCCTTCAACATTTTGAAACATTTTCATGATCCGAGGTCACAATTTGATTCCAGAATTGATTCTCTTTTGTAAGCAATGCGGTGAAGAATATAGTGCCTCTATTAGCTGTAGGGACCACGAGAATCAATTACATACAACACAGACGGATCGAAAATAATCGACTCTCACACGCATGATTTGATGCATGTATTGTGAGCATAAGAATCAATTTTCATTGACAAATCAATGCACAGTTACATGCCTACTCAGGAACCTATTTTTGCTGCTTGATGTATCTGCGTTGCTGTTTGTGCATTTTTTTTTTACCTGGGTCACCCCTGAAAGAGACTTCTTGTCTCAATGGGCTCTTAACTGGTGCAAAGGTAATCAATCAAAATGGAGTGTAGCAGACCAATGCATCTTACGAACACGAACAGCTCGATGTCCGCTTGCCTCCCCGACGCCATGCAGGTCACTAGGTTTTATTAGACTGTACTTCACACCGGTCCAGTGCAGGTTGGCAAAGGTGGAGAGCATACACATACAGTACAATAATAAAATCTGCTGCACCGCCGTCTGCCGTGCCAGAAGATAGCATTACAAAAGCGGGGCCACGTTCAACATATTTCCCCAAAATGGTTTAATGATTCGGTATAAACCCTGACATATTTGGTGCAGGCCTAACCCGACTTTCTTTCCACATGTTGACAATCGAAAATGAGCCCAAGGGACAAGAGGAGTGAGAGAGAGAGAGTTTGGTGGAAGGAGGAGTATTCAAGGTAGCACACAGTGTACAGGGCGAGTCAATGGGTGGGCGTACGACTGCATTGCGTTGGTGGGGTGCTATGGGTTCGGAAAGCGGCGGGGGGGGGGGGCTTACATGGGTCGGCAAATGATGAGGTCTCCCCGGTTGGTGCCGTAAGCCAGGCCCAGCCCCACGTCCGGAAGCCAGCGCGCCGAGTTGATGCTCACGTAGCGCCTCTGGTCGGGCGGCATCGGGTACACCACGTTGAACACCCGCTGTAGAGCAGAGAGGTGGCAGGGATCAATGACAGCGGCAGATACAAAACGACTCGAGTGCTATCGCAAATGCAAGCCACCGCGATTTGGTATGCAAAATCTTACGTGTGATGCGACACCATTGTCAGCAAAGGCGAGATAATTTAATCACTATTCACAAGTGTCTCGCTTATGATTTTAAAACGCGCAATAATGGAGATAAAGAACTAGAGACTCTACGATCCATTAAACGTTTATTGTTTGTTATTTTGCGACTTGTCAAGAAAACGAGCAGCAAATGACAAAGAAAATTTACCAAGGAAGCGTCAAAATACCTCAACAATAAGAGTGAAAGATAAAAACAATGCTGAAAAACGAACATACGAAATACTACGTGTGTAGTTATGTCAACAAATGATCACTGCATACCAAGGAAATGGGACAAGTTGTGAATGACGTGCCAAATTTTGAACTGCACGTAAAGAAAGGCATCCACACATTACATCACAGCATTGAACCCACACCGCAATTCTGCACACGACAAAAAAAACTTCCACTCTCCTCACTATTATGCCCCGTCACTTTCGATGCCTGCAACGTTTCAAACACTCCTGAGATGCACGCAGTCGACTCGTTTTTGTCGGTGGATGTGCTCAAAAGTGTCCTCGCAAGTTTATTGTTTGGCTACTTTTTCCATTTCTGCAGAGAGATGAAAAGGCACTCTCTGCAAAGGGACACAGCCGGGGAAAGAGCTATCCGAGTTGCTTTAAAAATGGGGGCAGTGTGAGCTGCCAATCTTGCAGGAAATGCAGCCTTAAAGGCATCGGTCTTGTTCCTGTGAGCCAAGCATTATGGTGCCGCGTGCAGTCAGGGGTAGGTGGTAGCCAGGGGCGGTTAGTTTGCAGTGGCTAAAATATGTAATGCTTCGCTTCTCCGCGCGAGTCTCTCTCGCAGGATGCGACACCCATTTATTTTGGCGTCTCTCTGTACAGTTTTTGGGTGAACGCTACATTGCCCGTCCCCTTAGCCATTACTCCTCGGATCAAATATTTCTTGTTCATTTCACAACGGAAGAGGGCGGGGGGGGGGGGTACCTTACCGAGTTCACCGATTGCCGATGCCTGCTTTGTATTGTGAAGGAACATCATTTAAGTAGTCCATATTCTTGGTTCTTTCGGTAAAGTCACGTAGAAGGGAAATAATAAAATAATACAAATACAACAATAAAATCAAATTCCGACAACGTTTTGGCCACAACGCAAGCAGCCGTCCTCAGGTGAAGAAACAGAGCTGTCGGAAAGACAGCGTCCTAATGAACACTGTTAAGCTTGGCAGTGTTCCTTCTACGTGACTTAACCAAAAGAACCAAGAATATGAATCCCTGCAGTCACGAAAGCTTTAAATCGAAATTTAAGCAGTCCAGTTTTAAAACTAATCTGCATGAATGAGTGTGCTATGGAAACCTGTAACACTGGTTACGGTGTGAAGAACAAGCCCTAAGTTTTGTTTGCTCCAGGTAAGATAGCTGTGTATGGTGACAAAAGGCTGTAGACATCAAAATGCACACTACATCATATATCCAGATACAGCACACAAGGACACACTTGGAAATTCCCACAGGAACGTTCTCCGCATTCAGATCAGAAATGATACGTGTCTATATATGTAACCCCACCCGCCACGTTCCCTGGATACCTGTTGACTTATTGAACGTATGTGGGCAGGCTCAGTGAGCAGTCCCTTAGCCCATAATCCCTTTAGGAAATCAGCTCAAAATTGCATAAGTACAGCAGCATGTGTCCACAGCAGACACGACCGCCGGCCTCTGCGGTCCACCACGAGATGCGTATTTTATTCCCAGCGCTAGAGAAACCCTACATGATGCACGCATGTACTGAGGGAAGTGTTGGCTGGATGGTGGTGGGGGGGGTCGGTTTGGGGGTATTTGTGGTCGGGAGCGGGGGTGTGGCCCTAGCCCTGCACGCCTAGCCCTGCACGCCTGTCACGGCATTTAATATAATTAGAAATGAAGAGGAGCACTTCTCGCCCACACCAAAGAGACGAATGTCAGATTGTTTGCCAGAGTCTGCCGTCATTAGCGCCTACCATGCTGCTGCCACGCGTTAAAATTCCAACGCGCGAGCACAAGCCCTCGTCCCGTGCCAAACAAGAACGGCCAACGTCTCCCCGGTGTAAGCAGAACCCCTGGGTCACTTGAACTGTCGAGGCCGTAATGCCTGTTCGCTGCACATCCATCTTACAAACACCGAGCCTGCTCCATAAGAAGACGGGGTCGTATTATCGCTCACAGTGTCAGCCACAAGTGGCGATAACTTTGCTAGCAACACCAATGTCGCTAATGGCAACAATTTGTGAAATGTGTGCGGGCTGGTCTCCCAACACCACCAGTGACAATAAATGAGCAGGTTTGTTCCAAGTGACAATTTTATTTAATTGGCTGCATCGGGTGGAGGGTTTATGCCACACCTTTTTTGCTTGCACCACCCTACCCAAAAATGCATTATGAATTGTGACAACAATTGGGGCAAACCGGTCTACATCTCAATAAATGAGACGCTTTTATCACAATAAAGGGAGACCCCCCGTTGGTGTTCATCAGTCACGGAAGACAATGATCACTGCGTCATGCGCCTCAGAAGATGACATTCTTCCCCACTGGTGTAGAAGCGGCGGCCCATATATTATTGAAGCATAGGCTGTTTTGTGGGGCAACTTTTTTACAAGAGCGTAAATATTACCAGCAGCCTCACTTGAGTATAACTATTTGTCCAGAGTGAAGAATGCTTGTTTTTACGAAATTTTAAGTAAACCATGTAAAAGTATTATTATTCTTTTGATTTAAAGCTTTCGTGACTGCAGGGATTCATATTCTTGGTTCTTTCGGTAAAGTCACGTAGAAGGGAAACAATGAAATAATTCAAATATATATAAAACAATAAAATTATCACGACGTTTTGACTGCAACACAAGCAATCATCATCAGGTGTGAAAACCACTGCAAGAAAATTTGAAAAAAGTGGCGGTTTTTTTAAACGTTAGCACCACGGAGAGCGATTTGGCAGTTATTCAGATGGACGAGTCCATCTATGTTCGGAAAAGAGGAGGGAGAGACGAAAATAATGGATGCAGTCTGAAAGACACCTTAAGCGTGATCAATCAATTAAGACCTGAAATGGTTTATCAAATCCTTCCAATGCTTGCTAAGCCAGAATCCATCTTCTCGGTTGAAATTGTTTGTATATGTGGATAGCCTCATGAACAAATCCTGCCATGTTTGCAGGTAAATTTCCAGCAGTGGGATTTTTGGCCAATACCAGTTATGCACCGTTTTTTTTCAATGGGAGGAAACTGGAAAACCCATGCAGAACAAGGGGGAGAACGTGCAAGCTCATCACAGGAAGGCACTTGACTCGGGAATCAAACCCAGGCGCTGCTTGCTCTGAGGCAAGAGTGTTATCACTGTGCGACCATGCTGCTCTAGTGCCCTGTAATGTCTTAATGTTTTTTAAAACTGGAAATTGTGTTCTCTTTATTCCTCCAAATGCAACACAGTGCATTAGAATTTCTTGATATGAGCAATTCAATTAGGCAGCGGCAAGAAAAAAAGCTTGTAATCAAATGTGTTTGCCCAAGGTGGATGAGAATTTTTGCACAAATACATTTCAAGCATCAACGAAAAAAACATTTTTATGGTAGCCAATTAGCTTTAATCACAACTTACTTTTTAACGTGGCAATTGTTTAATTTGCAAGATGATCCTGGCAAATGCATCATGCCATAAACCATTAACATGGCAATAGCCATCTAAAATATAAAAATAACTAAACACAGCCTTTGGCCTTAAAAGGAAAAATATATAAAAGGAGACATTAGGGCAAATTGTCCCTCTCCATAGAACATTTTATAACACTTCATTATTAAACTTCTTCCTGAAACTTCACCTCATTATTTCCTGAAAGGGAAATAATAGTGTTATTGATGAATGTGTTGAGTTTTTTTTATTACTTGCGCACCACTGCCAACGCAGCATCACCAAAATCGTCACATGAGATATAGCTTGGGAAAAACAACCCACTTATAAACATGCGATGAATAGAAACATTTAAAGGTCTTTCATGGTGCAGTATGACTACATTCAAGAGCGCCTAGTCTCACCCAGGAGATTTGAGGACAGCAATTACTACTAAATGCAGGAGCACAATAATTTGCGGTGCTAATGTTATTCCATCAACCTTCGGTGATAGCCAAATCAGTGTCTTCCAAAGGGTATGTGAGCACATGGCAGGTGGTAATAGCCACAGAGGCATGAAGTGTGGTATTGTGAGCATGTGCTGCAGATGTTCCAGAAAGTAGTCTGGCCAGATGGTTAGATATTAAACACCCTCCCCGATAGTTGTAGACAAGTGGAGTAAAGTGATATTCACAAATCTCTTGTAGTGCATCACTTGTGAATGTTGTTGTCACATTTTATGTGTTAGCCCTCCTGCTACACTATTGCGAGTCGCAGCAGGTTTGCGGGCTGTGGAGTACATTTGGGAATAGATGCCACTCGGCACTCAAGCTGTTACAACACTGAAAAAAATTATCGGTGTTCAATATTTACATTCCGTACACCTACAGTAAAAAGTTGCCAATTAAGCAGCACAAATGGCTGAGTGAAGAGAAGGACAGCCAACCTAATTGTTCTCGTCTCCAACATTACATTGTGAACTTCAAAACAAAATGAGGACATTCCCAGCGGCAACTTCAAGAAATACCTACGAACGATGGCACCCAGTGGGCTATCCCCTATCCCACCCCCCATGCGAGCTAGTTAGCCTGGCAAGCCAGGCTGCCTCAAACACGCTGCTGCTCACCTCTCCCACTATAACCTCCTCCCCTGGAGCCACCTTCCCAACAAAACAGCACCACCAACACAGCAACATGGACTCCCAATTCAGAGCTAAAAGACATCAATGGAAAGAGAGAGGAGAGGGGGGTGGTCTTTGTTCTGTTCGGATAATGGAAACGTGCAACTCGTCAAGTGGGCAGATATTATCCGCGCAGGCATCACGCTTCGGGCGAGTGCAAGACGCTAATGTGATCGGCGCCGAGGGTTCGTCCATGCAATTTTTGTCGCCACCTCTTATAATGCAACGCCCGCATTTTTCCCCAAACAATCCCATCCTCTTCAGCAGCATTTACACGACTAATGCCTGCATGCACAATCAATACTTTTTAGTTTTTTTATTGCCGTCGTCTCTGCAGGCGCTTCTCTCGAGCTGCATTCTCCAAGAAGCCTCGCTCTTTGCTCATTCCCGTACCGTGCAGGTGGCTTTCATTGAGCACATCCAAACCCCTTAAAGCGGGTGAGATTTCCGCGGAGCGAGCACACCTGCCAATTTGGGCCCGTTTGCCGGGTGGTTTTTTACAAAAAGCTGTGCAAACAATGCGAAAAGAGCATGCTTCAGCAAGGCCAATGTTATCAAAATTACGTTTTCGTGTAAAGATCATGGAGGGGTCATGGTCGTGCCAAAACTTCAGGGACATGCACTTTAATTTTAAAATGAATGCCGTCAGGAATTCACAGACGAGAACATTTGGTACATTAAAAAAAATTGTGACTTGCCCTTAAGTGTATACGCGCCGGATTACAAGCGCTGCCAGCGATAACGGTGCAATGCAGAAATTTTGTGCACATTATGTGCACGTTGCTTGTACATTGGAAGGCGCGCGTGCACGTGTGTGATGACGCTTTTATTGGGTGTCCGGCAGTGCGCCACAAATGTACGCAAACGTGTCCATGAAGCAAACTTTCCAATCGACGTGTGCAAACAGCGTGCGGGCACTAACACGTGCATAAACAAGCAGGCACCACTGGGTTATTCACACACAGCCATACATTATCAGCCATGATCAATCCACTGGTGTACGAAGGCCTACCCAAGCAGTCACCATCTCACGTTCCTGCAACGTAATATTCCACTTAGCACCTGCACACCAATTGCTTTAATCACTCCCATGTCAACGGTCAAATGCCTTCTCTCCTCGACCCTCTGGCGATGATCCCTCCTTGCGACATGTCCTGCCGAAGCCCATGTATGCATTTAGTTTGTTGTCTTCCCCCGCACCTTCTACAGGGTATGTGAGCAAATGTTGCACTTCTTACACACCCATTAGTATGGTGCGAAAGAAGTTCAACGTACATGTAATTTTCACAACAGTCGAAACGTTGTCGTTTACCTGTAAACGCTCTCCAATGTATGCGTTACTGTTTCTGTCTAAGTGCAATTCCAAGACAAAGATCCCCTGTATCAGCACAACAGACTGTTGGGGCAAGTGCTGTTAGCGAGCACCTATGAAGGCCGGCACGATACACGAGGGGGTGGGTGGCCAGCACCACGCCTGGACGCCTTTGTCTCCCCAGTGGCGATGTTTACACACCGCACCAGGTACTCATTTGAGGCCGAGTGCAACTCCAAGGCGGCAAACACACACAAAAGGGTCGTGTGTGTGTGTGTGCGTGCATATATCGTGGCACCTACCCGCATGGACACTTCTCCCGCGTGTGGCTGCTGCAGGCGGAACACTTGGGCGACCATGTGCTTGGTGGAGGGCTGCAGGAGCACCCTGCGCGAGGCGAGTCCCACCATTATGTATCGCCCCATGGGGGACAGGCTCACGGATATGGCATTGGGGCCTGGCGGGCAAACACGGGGGAAGGGGAGGGGAGGGGAGAAATAATTCTCAACGCATTTTGATGGTGCCGGGGTCCCCAATGGGACGGCGGGCAAACAGAACCGTCAGGAGATATGACGGGGAAACCTTTAAAAGAAATTGAAATCTGCAACAGGCTGCCAAAAGATTCGAGCGCGCGCAGTGGAAATATGAACCCAGTAGCATACGCAGACAAAAACCATTAACGGAGAGAATCTGAGGCTGCGATACAATGACGACACCCGGGGCTAAGACCCTGGGGATTGCAACGTACGTTTACAAGGAGGAAAAATGGAAAAGAAATAGAATTTAATCACCTGGCTGTCACAGTTGGTAGACAACCAGCCTTCGCAAACACTCAAGTGGAGAAATAATGAGTCATGTTTTACCCAGTCTAGAGACTTCTACTCATGATGGTGACGCATGCCTAAAAATAACAATGGAAAATAAACGCGTATAAAGGATATAATGATAATGTATTAATAACACACTAACTTTTCAATGGTGTTGCTTTATATTTTTACCGTCTCGCACAGTGTAATGGTAATTATTTTCTTAGTGGGAAAAAGGTATACCAGATCATCTGGAGAAGGTTAAACATTCTAACATTTATCTCAGAATGTACAAAACAATGTATATACACCTGCAAGCAATAAATATTCGAAGCGACCATTAATTAATAATTATCTTAAATAATTACAGTAAAACCTTGGATTGCGAGTAACTTGGTCTAAAGAGTGTTTTGCAAGATGAGCAAAACATTTAAATAAATATTAATTTGATAGACGAGCGAGGGTCTTGCAATACGAGTAGTACGTATACACTTTGCCGAGCGTCACGTGATCACAACTGATATACGAGTGCTTTGATATACGAGTGCTATGGATTACAAACACGTTTCCAGAACGAATAATGCTCACTATCCAAGGTTTTACTGTACTGGAAATAACAATGTGTATGTACATGCAGTCGACCACAAGTATACTCATTGCTAACTTGGCCACAAAAAGCTTGTGGTGATGATGGGCTGGGATGCCCAACACATTTAGGCAGAATGCCTTTTCTTCTGCTTAATTATGCATCCTCCAAATTACGTGCCTCGACAACTCCGATTATCCGTAACCGAGGTTCGTCCCAATGACTTGCACAATCAACTTACGTAAGAACCCTCTCGTGCCGTTGTTAGCGCACCCAGGTGCGCTTACGCGATACGTGTCCGTGCCAACGGAGAGCACAAGCGTGAAAATAAGGCACGTGCCGTGTACTCCCATTTACACGCGCACAATTAACCGCACGGCGTCGCTCGCACCAGCAATGGTGAGAGTGTTGTGTGGGGGAAAAAAAGGTTCACATGAGATAAAAGGTAGGAGGCCATTAGTGGCACCAATGTGCTATGCTGAACAGTTGCCACGGTAACACATCACACCCACATCTGCTCCACTACTCTTTGGTTTTTTCGGTAAAGTCACGTAGGTTAAAAAAATCAATAAAATAAATGAAAACAACTAAGTTAAATCACGACGTTTCGGAGGCAACACAAGCTTCCGTCTTCAGGTGGAAACCGTCACGTGATTAAATTTAGTAGTTTTTCATTTATTTTTATTTTTACCTACGTGGCTTTACCGAAAAAACCAAAGAGTATGAATCCTTGCAGTCACGAAAGCCTCAAATCTAGAATCTGCTCCACTGATTGCAAGTGCAAATTCTGCACGCTTTAAAGTAGACTTATCACCTGTGTTTTTGTTTTAAATGTAACTTTCTTTTTATTTCAACTCCAGTTAGAAGTCAGCACACGCACATAACTAATTTTACGTAATTATGCCCAAACAAGCAACCCTGTGTTTTTTTTATCTTGCGATTTTTCTACCCCCCAACACCTCACACCCCGTCCCAACTTTCCCCCCTCCTCCCCCTCCTCCCCCTCTGTCCCCTTTCACGGGAAAATTTTAATTACGCCCGGAGCGATGTGGGAATGAGGGCAGGAGGGACGGAAGCAGCACCACACGCTGGCCCCGAGCTTTGTTCACCGACATAATTCACCCAAGATGTCAAAAGATCCCAGCCTATAATCTGCTTCCTTAGAAATCTGCCAAATTTAGACATTTATTAAGGGGAATTTTGTTTAATTTGGATTTCTAAAAAGCACATTGCAAGGCACACCTCTGCAATTTCGCTGTCCACATTTTTGCCCGCACCATGAAATTTAACACATTTGTCACAGGAAATTATTACTTTCGTACCTTCGTATTGACCCCGCAAATGACTCAGAATTAAATATGTATCCCTTAAAAGTTGACATGATCTCGTGCACATTTTTGCCCCAATCTCTACATATTAAAAAAAAAAAACGCTGCACATTCATAATATTGTCGCCTTAAAAGTGAGAATATATAGTAGGTGGCATATCAAGCAATGGGCCTTCTTGATCGCATATAAAGAAGAGACATAGCCCCAAAATGTCACCTATTATATATTTTTCTTCTCAAGGTCACGGAGTGCCATTGACGAGTGTTGAATTTTTTTGTTATGTGTCCGTGCACCACTGCCAAACGCAGCATCACCAAACAATGTCACATAAAATATACTTTGTTTCGCATGTCGATAAAGTGCTAACAAAGAAAACGTACTTGTCCCTTGCTGTGAGAAAATGGAAGAGAAGATACACGCAACCGTCCACTTGAGGCCGAATAAGATTTGTGAATTCTGCTTCACTTTTATAAAAGCTACGAGAGGTTTGCACTGCAATCCAACATAAAATAAACGTAACACCCCTTCGATGCATCACAGCGTGGCCATGTCAGCACCCAAAGCTACACTGAATAGCGTGCCTGGCCGCAGAGAAGTGGTAGCCTCTTGGCTGAAACGAATTTGTTCGCTAAAGAAAGCAAGCACACTCAGGCAATTCGAACTATTTTATAAGGATGACCACGATCTGGGGGGTACAAAAATCAAAGTCGGGCGTCACGCCACATCGGCAAAGTTTTTCTCTCAGGCAGTTACCAAGAAATTACCACGCAACGTTCATCTGATTCATTAATTCCACATTTATATTCTTGTGATTTACGATATGCCTCAAAATCCCTGCAATGTCTCAGGAGTAAATACTACATGTTGTTATTTTATTGTTATTAAGTTCCTTGCAGATGATATAAATATATTCCTTCTTTCTCATTAAAAAATGTATTCCTTCGCCAGGGTTTTTAATCTTTAATTTGTTCCTTGGTCACTCTGAATGGAAGCTCTTTTGAAATGTACCCTAAGCAGTTAAAATAGCTAGAATGCATCTTATTGTAAGGTGTTATATTTTCAATGTCTACATTATTAACCTCAATCAATCCACTGCTAGATGAAAACCTCCCCAGGCGGTCAACATCCCCCCACGGTGAACATCCCCCCTCCCTCCTTTGGCTGTCACACTATTCAATTGCCGATTCATCCATGTTGCACTTTGTTACGAGCTTTGTTATAGTATTTCAGCTGTTTAGTTTACATGTGAAATGCATGATTTTGTGACCCAGCTCCACACTGAAAGCAAGACTATCAGTCTCAACGGCGATCTCGCGTCGCTTCAATGACGATGACAATCAAGACGGACGCACGAAAGAATACGTCGTAACACACACACACACACATTACGCACGCCGTTTCGTCGCCTAAAAGCTGGGTTGGCCAACCGGTAAAATCCTCACCGAAGCGGCGCTGGTAAAGCACCTCCCCGAGGTTGTGTGGCGCCAGCGAGTAAACGTTGAGGACGCCCTCATCCGGGAAACCCCGATGGCTGCCCGGCACGAAGGCGGCCAGGTGGCGACCGTCGCCCGAGATGTCACAGCTCGCATCGTTATAGATCTTGCACTTGGTGACCAGAACGTTGATCTTGGCTGCCGCAGAGACAACGTCGGAGTCAGATAGAGGGGGATCACACCACAGTGAGCGCTGACCGACGGGGGCATTTTATACTTTGGCACACACGAAACACACTTTGCACTGATGTGCGTTTCGTCGAGTGCCGCGACATCGCCGAGGGGGAGCAAGCGTGCCACTTTGTTGCAGAGGCTTTGCGCATTGAGTCCGATGCTCATCCTGATTAATGCTGCCAAATGAATTGACCGTGTGCAAATGGACTGACAGTTAAACTATGGAATGTTAAAGATATTACATTTGGCATCGCAGACCAAATTTCAATTTTTTTTTAAAAATCATCTGCATATTACTTAACTGGGTATTAATCACTCTATCGTTGTCCCCTAATGGTAGACTACATGATTTGTGAAAATTAATATATTTTTGTGATAGCCTTCTATCATAAGAATTGCACAAATAACAAATGTACTAAATATGTTAATTATTTATCATCTCCATGCTTCAAATGGCAACCGCAGTGTTCAATTACGGTAAAAAAACATACAGGAGGGATATTTAAGGCACAACGTAATACTGAGGGACATTTTCAGAAAACATCTCATTGACGCAATAATTTTGCTATTTCTTCTACAAAGCAGTTCTCTTTATAAATTCAGCAAACAAAACAAATATATAGGAAAATGATATGGAAATCTGAAATCATGGTTGTATACCACCAAATTATCAAATATTATAGCGGCAGCTCTGCAAAAACCACTTTACTCAAAAATGCAAAAATAGAGAAAGCACTCAAGTTCCACATTTCGTCTGTCAAAAGGAAAACGTGTCCAATTTTCACACGGTTGAATCAATGCATAAAAACCAAGAACCTCAGCATTCATTAAACGTAAAAACATCTGAAAGGTGAAGAAAAATAGCTTTAATGGGCCAGTGTTTTTCTGCCATGACAACTGTGCAATCGTTCGTCGCAAGTTGCATTTCAGCCCATTAGCGCATATCATCAAGCCACTCATTACGCGAAACAGATTTGCTCTCACGGCCATCGATCTAGCCAATGTGTTGCGGCTACTCGGCCAATGAGGTATAAGCACCCAAATGGGACTGGTGCAGCATTGTGACCTGTTGACAAATGAGCCGCTGGATGACAACAGTGAGAATATAATCTAAGAGACACCGCAACGCTTGTTTCGTATTTCGATGGCACGGGACATACAGCCGCATTGCAGTCATGATGTACATGCTGCTGCGCGAGGCCAAGCGGAGCTGTACGCACGTAAAACTTCGCGAAGTACCCATTGTGATAATTATATTTCGATTTAAAGCTTTCGTGACTGCAAGGATTCATCTTCTTTGGTTCTTTCGGTAAAGTCATGTAGAATGAGAATATTATTGTGTTATTTTATTTTATCAATTTATTATTTTATTCTCATTCTACGTGACTTTACCGAAAGAACCAAAGAAGGTGATAATTATACTTAGAGAGTTAAAAGCATGTGAAGAATGGACACAATGTTATCCATGTATGATTCCCAGCAGCACAATCATCAAAAGCAGAATTTTGACCAATAAAATATTTTGAATGGACATACACCCACTACTTTGCTAACTCCGACAACAAATCAAGTCTGCTCTCCAATAAATAGGATCTCTCAGCAGATCTCCATGTACGAAATACATTTTCAGAAATTTTGCTTCTATAAACTTAAAAGGCAAACCTGTGATTACGTGACAGGTATATGGTACATCCACAATCTTGCATGATGCGTTGTTCTTAAAGACCAAGTATTCCTGTTTGTAATTGGGAACCTGTGAAACTAAACTAATTGCAAAAATGACAATTCTGAGCATAACATTTAATTGTGTATCTACATGTACATGCCTAAGTGAATCCACTGCGGGCTAAGGACCCCTCCTGTGCGGTGTAGGCAGAGGGGGTTATGATGAACCAAACTTCAGCACAATAGTCTTTTGCAGATTCGAAAAGGCGGGTGGGAAAATGTACTTCACGGCAAAGAAGTAAAGTACTATCATGTATTGAGCTGCACTGCCCACCACGAAGCCTCACAACATCCTGCTGTGCACGGTGGTCACCCATCCAAGCACTATCCAGGCACAATGCTGCTTATTAAGCTTCCGCGAACTGACGCGATCACGGTGCATCCTGGGTGAAAGCGGTCGTTTTTGTGTCTGCTGTGAATTGGTGCTTACAATTGCTAATTTCAGGCAGGTTGTAGCTGGCAAAGTCCCACCACTGCAGGCGGTACGTGATATCGGCGATGTTGTTAGCCACCGCCGACTGACCATCTCCGACCACCGCCCCTGCATAAAAAAAACAAGAAAGCATGGTAAATTTTGACACATTCGAAATGCACCATCATCGTAAATGCACATTCACCTTAAGTGACTGCCCGGAAAAGTGTAATTGCACATGCGTGTATTAGTATGATAGAGAATAGACCAAGAGCAATGATGAATGAGTGAGGACACTAGCAGCAATAAGACACCCACGTAGCAGAGAATTACTGGTGGAGGGAATGTGGTGTAATCGCAAGAGCGAGGGGATCAGCAAACAACATAACAACTCTCAGAGTCATGTAAAACAAAATCAAAGAGCCGATTAGTCAAACAAAAAAACAAGTTTGTCTCATGTCACATTAAGATTCATACTGTTCAACACTTCATTGATGCGGCATTGAAAACAGTCCACTGCATCGGCTTCACATTTAAATCTGCTCATCATAAAGATAAATAATATTTTAAGGTAACCACAGCCCATCTCTGCATCCTAGCTGATTCAGAGATGGGCAAAAGAAAATGACCACAAAGGGGACATGTTTGGCCAACATCGGGATGCGTTGATTTCGACGTACGAGGGCTACCTCAGGGATTTCACTCAGGATAATGCTTACTGTACATCACAAACCTTTTGACCTTTCCAACGAAGGAAAGTTAAGCAAGTTCAAGTGGATGTAAAAGGTCATGTGATGGGATGAACGACTACGGCAAAAGTACAAGTATGGCCTGGAGACTGGATCTAGTGCACGGCCGGTTACATGCACTGGTCTTATGGGGACTGGCTCGAGAGTGGAATGTCAGAAATGGGGCAGTTTCGCCCTCCCGAAAGTTGGTTGGGAATGATTGCCCTCCCACGAGATATTTTGCACATGCATCCGAGTGTAGAATTCTCCCGACCCCCCCCCTAACAAAGGCTCTCTTGAGAACCATTTTCTCCCCACACACCTATGCCTCGACTCCCTCACTCTCGCTAAGGATGCCTCTTGGCCGCGCTCTGCATGAAGCCACAGCATTTGTAACCGCCAGATTCTGCCAGAGGAGATAGATTAATGAGGCCCTTTTCATCACGCACGTCTCTCAACAACGTCTCGATGCAGAGGCTCTATGGTTCCATTAAATAATATTTTTTTAAATAAGCAACCTCGTTGCAGCGGACTCAAAACGCTGAATCTCGGTTAAGGATGCAATGTGCCGAGTACTGCCATTGGGACCAAATTATATAACAAAACTTTTAACGTAATTTAAGCAGCCTACGGAGCTCGACATGAAATCCTTGTGCTATACACAGTAGTGCCCTCCTTCTCTATTCAGGTGCAAGACCAGTGCTATTGGTACTTTGGCAAATATGGAAGAGGACCTGGCACTGTAGACAACAGCCTGGGGAATGAACTCGGAGATTCCTTCACAACAATGCAAACGCTAAAAAACTCCCACTCAACCATCCTTAGTCCTTACAACACAACAGTCATAATGTATCGTCGTTTCTCGATAAAACAAACATAAAAATCTATTAAGCAAAAAATCAAGCTTATAGAAAATTTCAGTGGATAAAGGTAAACTCCAAAATAAACAGAGGATGTGGATGCATGTTCAGACAAACTAAATGTGGGTATGGTTACTATATTTTTATTCTTTATATGAAAGGGGAGGCATATCCAGAAATTGAAATTGGAATTTCTGTTGCATGCCAAATAAGCGATCATGAAATCCATATCGGTTTGATGCATCCAAGGTAATTGCACTTTTATGCGCATGACTCAAGATTTTAATGTGTATCCTTCTGAAAAGGAATTAAAATCCCATCAACAATTCAGATTATTTACAAACAGCCCAGCCATAATTCATTTTGACATTTTTAAGAGCCAATTCTAAGCTGTAATAATAAATTAAACAGATAGGCAAGGTAATTTTACAATGTTTTTTTCGTAGCAGTAGCTTTATTTAATGCAATGTTTACTATCAGCACTTACAAAAAGCAAAGGATTGCTTTACATAAGTATGCAAGCCTTCCTTTAAATACAATATACCACAACAATAAAACAAATTTCCTATATTACTGGCCTATAATGCCTTTAATGTCAAATTTCCCCAACAAAAAAACAATCTAAGGCGTAATAGCTCTCCCCTTGAGGAAGCGTATAGTATTAAATTTACCCCGAGGCTTTCGGATAAGGTGGTGGTGTGAAGGGGGCCTGATCGTTTGTGAAGAGTCTAAGAGATGATGTTGGCTTGTGATGCCATACAGAGTAAAAATTCAGCCTTACAAAGGCAATTGGACAGGGTGGGACCCTATGGTTTATTGATGGTTATGACTGGTATAAATAGCATGCATTATATATATATATTTTTTTAAACAAATACTTGGAATGTTTTTGTCCAAAACAGAAATAACAAACAACAAGAGGCAACTCTCTGCCCTTTCAATGCACTGTGAAAGATCACTGCCCGAAACGTCACTTATCATTAGATACTTTTCCTTCTAAGAGTATGAAAGTAAATATTTTTTTTGCGTGCTTGTGTACCACTGCTCACGCAACAATGAAAACAAGATGTTTTTATTGTTGCAAGAAAGCCAAATAGGTTTCCTCGTTTTAGAATTGATCCTTCTGGCGGTACCCAGGGTACCAAATAATACAAAATGGCCGAGGCAATTAAATATTTTATATCTGGGACACTATTTTTTCCAGGGGTGTTCTCAACTCCGCGACTGGGGTACCAATCAATCCGAAACCAGTGCTACTCCGCGATGTCGAAACGCAGCGAGGACGATTGCGCCGAAACCCTGAACGCTCGCACGCACCAGTTGATCAGGTGAGATCTTAGTGATTGGGAATCCAGGCCATTATCTGCCTTTCTCGGGGCTCTCGATGAGATCGAGGACTTCAAAAGACTTTCGAATCCAACTTCATCGCGACTAGCTGTGAGAAGCACATCCTCGCGTTCATGTCGAGCGTGTCAGCATCAGCGGCGGGAGCGGCATCCTCTGCGGCAGGTGCCTCTTCGTCGGTGTCAGACTCGTCACCTTCGGCGGCAGAAGCGGCGACATTCGTGACGGGCGCATCATCGGCTTCCGGGACGGCGTCCTCGCGATTGTCCAAGTTATCAAGCATCGAAAGCATTCGTCGGATGGGCGGTGCCGGTGGTTCGCAGCGGACCGTGCCTTGTCGCATTGTTCGTGAACGGTGCAATCGCCAAGATGACAGAGCAGCAGCGTGTGATCGCCAAGCTGGGTCAAGAAGCAATTAACAAGATTCAGAACGATTGGGCGTCGATGGAGACCATCCAGAACGGATCGGAATGGCAGCAGTCTGCGGGGATCATTATTAACATGATCCAGTCGGGGCTATCGCAAATTGAGATTCGTTCGATCATCCCTGTCGGCGGTTCCAAAGTCGCGCGTCTACGCAAGGTCCTCAAAGATGGAATTGACACTTTTCATACGCGGCACGCTCCTACGGTCCCACATCACGCACTTGCCGATGCCATCAAACGGGACTCCGAAACATAGGAGGTTAAAGATGGCTTTCCCCGCGCTCATCGACGACCCAAACAGTACCTCGTCGAGCCAAATATCACATGGACGCAACTCTATCGGCGATACAAGGTCAAGATGGAGGCCCAGGACTCTTGTGTCGTGTACTTTTCAAGATGAATTCAGTACGTCCACATGTATCCCGGTCTTAGCTTGACGCACACAGCCGAAGACATTGGTGACTGCTGTGTTCGAATCGATATCCAGCTCGAACGCAAGGATCTTCCGGATGATGAACGTCAACGCCTACTGCTGGAGAAGAACATGCATCTCGACGCCGCCATCTGCCAGCGCAAAACGGTGTCCAAATTTGTCACGGAGTACGTCAAACAACACGCTCCTGATCAGCTTGTCCCCGACACCGTTACTCCAGAACACTACGACGACAACGACGACGCAACCAGCGTCGACCCGAGCGGACTGCCGTCGGTGCAGGAATTGAACGGCCTTCCCAGATTGAGGATTTTGGCGGTAGCTTCACCATGCCATACCACGGTCACATTCGCCCATCCGCGGATTACTTCAATTCCAACCTGATGGTCCAGAATTTCCTCCTAGCGGACATCACGAGCGGTGTCAACGTCATTTTCTACGACGAGCGCGCACAAGGAAAAGATGCAGACGCACTGTGCAGCCTCCGCTTCGTGTACCACGTGAAGCTGCTCACCATGAAGACGGCCCGCATGATGCCAAGCACTTTGCTCGTTATTCTCGACAACTGTGTCGGCCAAAACAAGTCGCAGCTGGTGTTGATGTTCTTTGCGATGCTGTCCCTATTGTTCTTCAGCAAAGTCGTTCTGCTATACTTCACACCAGGGCATTCGAACAAGCAGGCCGATCGGGTCGTCGCATGGTGTCGCAATGCGATGAAAGGTAAGAACTTTTACACCCCGATGGCCATCGTGCAGGCCGTCAACGACGTCAACAGCATTAAGGCGACATTGGTTAATCATCGCGATTCCAAACGCCCATTCTATATGGGCAGGGACGCGAATTTGAAGAAGCACATCAAGCAGATCGATGAAGGGCTCGTTAACTTAAGACACCTCAGCTCAACGCCCGACAGCGAGGTCATCCACGTCCCGCTGTTCAAGCAGGAGAATGTCGAACTCGTCCGTCGATCGATTCTACATGATCTGTTCAGCGACAACGTAGACACAATCCAGCAGGGGACGTTGCAATAAATCCATTTGCCGACGACTCCTGTCGGCAGCCTGACGATGAAGAAATTGCTCTCGCTCTCAAAGAAGTACTTTTCTATTCCTCCGGAATACCTGCCATATTACTCGGAAATCGCGAGCGAGAACAGCTCGCAGATCGACGACCCGATTCAGCAAGTAGTCCCGACCTGCTCGAACAAACGCCAGCTTGTTTCGATTGTCGCGATGGTGGATCCGGACACCGCTGCGGCACCGAAGGTGAAACCTGGGCGTCCCAAGAAGAAAACAGGCGTCGCTCCAGGGCATAAATCGATCCTGTTCTTCTTTGCCAA